CATGAACCTCTAACCAGTGCATGGAATCTCGTCTGATGAGGCGCTGGGATACAGCATCCTTCAGACAGTTCAGCTGTGCCCCATTCGGCCAGAGAACGGGCAGGGGAGGCTCTGCAGAATGCCAGCTCATTCCGCGTTGAGGCAAAGGCTCCTGAACAAAACAGTACAAATAGTGGGACAGACCATAACATTTATTGGAGGGAAGTGCTGTGGGATATTAAAGTGTTTACACAGTGAGGGGAAGACCCCTCACTCCCTCAGGATCTCAGGTACAAGGAATTTTTCAGCAGTGAGATTTCATTTTCATTTGGGGGTAGGAAGTGCAAGCCAAGACTGCAGAGGTGTCCAGGTGCCTCAGTTCCCCTGAGTCCAGTGGTACTTGGAGAACTAAATACCTCTGAGACCGTGCACCTCTGCCCTGCTTATGTTTGGTAAAGAGTCAATTACCCTAAAGGCTGCACTTTTACAAGTGCTGGAGGTAATAGCTGATGCTTTTAAATTCTTAGCACAACTGACAACTGCAGGATTCCTAGAGTTAGTAGGGAAAAGTGGGGCATTTTGCTTTTGGAACATGGGGAGGAGTCACAGTCATTTCTCGTCCGATATTTTCCTCCTGCATAAACTGAAATTTTGGGTCTACGATGCCTGAAGTTGGGGACCCTTATCCCTTAGATATGTAATGCAGCGTTAGTACAACTGAGAATCAGACCACTGCTGTTAGAAAAGATGAGTACAGGAATTCAGGAGACCTACACACTGCCATGATTGTTAGGAGAGGGAAATGACAGTCCCCTAAAGCAAAATGCAGTATTCATCCAGACACAGCACAGCCACCAAGAGAAAGACATGCAGAGCATCCTGCCTTGAATCTGACTCCGAGGTGACACGGCAGCCAGCAGGACCTTTGGCTTTTCTGCCGATGCTGCTCCCGACATCTACAGCTGCAGTGATGCCTCAAGAGGTCAGCATTGTAACATCAGTAGGAAGCTCTTTTTCAAGCCACTAAGCGTACCTTTCTCAACAGAATATCCTAGGAAGCCAATCGCCCAAGATGTTGGAAGGCCATTTTCCCTAAAGCAGCAAGCAAAATCAGCCTCCCAGCTAAGCAGTTGGCATGTTACAGAAACGTCTCCTCTGGGGCTGCTAGGGCAGCGCCATTCTCCAGCTCACTAGTCAAACTGAACACAACCAGCTAGAGACATTAGTTCCTTGACCTCTTACTCAGTCATTACCTACATCAGTTTGTCTGAGCCATCTAACCTTTCCTGTCGCCCCTACAAAGCCATCCCCAGTAAAACAGCTGCCCAAGCAAGCCACGTTAGGCAGTCAACATGACCCGCCAAAGCCAGGAGGCCAAACTTCTTAAATACTTAATGGAGAGAGGCAGTCACCTCCAGAGTACAGTTCAGGGAAGCCTTGGACCACAGCTTCATGAACCTTTTCAGCCAGCACAAGCTAGCACTGCAGTCAAGAGGTTGCTGTGTCTGTGTGGTTGCATTGTGAAATGGCTTTAACTTGCTAAAATCCCATCTAGTTTGGACACAGAACAGTGCCCTCTGCAGCTGTATGACCCCCTGAGCCAGCACTAGGGAGGGACAACAAGGGCGCTGGAAGAAGTTAAACATGGAGAGAAGGTGGGAGGGGTGGCAGGACTGCCCCTCTCTGTGGTACGGCCAGTCTGTGCTGGCTGGGAGAGGTCATGAAGCTGCTCAGACTAAAGCAGCTCCTGAGGGAAGCCAGTCTCCTCCTTGGCAACTAACCCAGAAGGTGCGAGTGCTCTCTGCACTGCTGCGCTTGGCTCTGCAAGGGTCAAACGGCTTTGTAATTTGGTTGCTTTGCTTTCTCTCACCAAGCCAAAGCCAGACGCACAGAATCTGAATGGGGAAGGGAGAACGCAGAGTTGCCCCCTGCACTGTTTGCTAAGCAGCCTGTTGACTGTGGTTGAAATCCTCCACAGACGCTGCTCGTCATGGAGCAGTGCTGCTCTCTCACAGTAGGTCTTACTCAAATTTCATTGTCAGACAGGGACCCAACACTACTTCCAGTTATATCAGTGTAATCTCCTAGAAGGCTGTGTGGCTGAACAGAATTTGAATCCTAGCACCTTTAATCTCAGTATAAAACCTGTCCTCTTTTCCCTCTGTCTGTCCAGCCTTCCTTGGTTTCATCCCTTTCTACAGTTTGGCCAAAAATTCTATTACCTAAGGTGTTGATTCATCTTTCTGACAATCCTGGTATTTACCTGGCACGAATTAGCAGAGCTTCTGTTAGTCGTTAGTCTGTATGTCCTCCCAATAGACCCTCAGAGACAGGAAAGCACTTGAAATGCCTTTTGCAGATATGGAGGCTAAGACATAAATGTACAATAGTCCAGACCCATGAAGGTATTGAGGTTTCTAACTTCCATGCATGCTTTGACATGAGTAAGGCATTAGCCCAAATGCATGTGGCTAAGAGCACAAAAAAAAGCAGAGGACACTGACTCCAGCTCTTCTGAACTCAAGTCTCTCTTTTGGCATCCGTCCTTTAAGGCTGCTTTGATGTTTTTTCCTCCTTGTGCATCAAAAGGAAGGTGGGAATGCTCTGGAGCTCAGTTTGCTCATCTTCTATATTCAAGCAGGTTTCATGCTTGGATTTTGCTGAACTAGTCTCAGGACATCTCCGGGCCCCATGCTCTAGCAATAAAATTATAGAACAAGCTTTTCCAACCAATTTTTTGGAGATATTTTCCCTTCTTTTTAACTTGTTCCAGTTGTACATACTGTCCTGGCTACACTCCTAGAGTAAGCACTGACAACTGTTTCATAGCTGAGATCCTCAGACACGGATGAGCCAAGATACACATACACACACATGCAGAGGCACACATAGAGGAGACCGCAGAAGGCCCTAAAAATAACTCAGCTAATTGAGCAGCCATCGGGGAGGGCTCAAGATGCAGCAGTCATTCCAAAGCCATTTCCTGGGGATGGACTCACACTGCTGTGCACCAAGGAGGGCGCTCTCCGAAGGCTGCGGGGAGGGAGGATTTAAGCACATTTTCCCTTGTCCATGCAGCTGGTGGTAGGGAAATGCTGCCTCGTACAAGCCCTGAGTCACACATAGCAGGGAGCCCACCCC